CTTCACAACTTATGATGATGTTTGGTTACTTGTGTTCCTTTGATTAAGTAGAGGGTGGTTAACAAAGTAACTTCGAATCTTGTTGGATTTGGTTTTTCGTAGATGTTAGACGTAAACTTTTCTTCTTATTATTTTATTTGCTTCTACCACTGCTTATTTACTTTTTATCTTATCGTAGTAGCCATATTCTTTTAATAGTAATGTCATGGGTCAACGGATCTTTTATTCTTTTTTTGGTTGGTTAAAGAGTATTTGCATTAATAACGAAAAACACAAACCATATACCTTACTTTATCAATACCTTATAAAAAAAAAACCTTATTTTATCCACAAAAAATACGAAAAACACAACCCATATACTATATATTGTAATGTAGGAAGTCCTACAAAAACAAGTGTCTGGCCACAAACAACAGCCTACTATCTGTACGAATGGGGATATTTTGAAGCTTCAAAAATAGAGAAAGTTCTATGAAATGGGTATAATTTATTCATTTTAAAAGGACAAGTAAGTTGAATAGCAATCTCTATTAATGTTCTGGAGGCCTAGTACTAGTACTGTATTGAATTGATTCTTAACCCATTTGTTTTATGCCTATCAAGCTGGTTGTTCTAAACTGTGGAAAAGAGCAAAATCTTGTGGTCAATGGTTGCTTGTCACTTTTTAACCCAGTTACTTTGTATTGTACTTCATTGTGATATTGTTACTAATGGGAGTACATTACCTATATTGCTGTGTTCCTTGGTGGATACTGTTTCCCTGAATAATCTGTAATTGCAGGCGAAAGATGCTGCTAGAGCGCAGAACAAATGGCTCTTGGTGAATATGCAATCCACACGAGAATTCAGCTCACATATGGTAGTCTCTTAACATCTCCCCCTTTAACTGAAAATGTTGGGAACATAGAAGCTGACACAATATTTCTTTTCCTTGTTACGTTTTTTGGCTCACTTTTGGTTTGTGTAACCTGCTTTTGAAGCTTAACCGAGACACTTGGGCTAATGAGGCTGTTGCTCAAACTATCAAAAGTAACTTCATCTTCTGGCAGGTTGGTGCTACTTTTTTCTTTCTTTTAAACTAGCTCTATAGTCAGAATGCATGCAGTTTTACCTGTGTGTCTGATCTCTTATTTGTCTACATTAATCAAGGACTTGTTTCATTGGCTCTTTACCAGTTATGGTTCTCTACACATGACGCTGACCTTTTGACAATGTTGCCATTATGTGTAACTAGTTTATTTGCTAGATATATCCTCCAGAGGTCACTAAATTTGTTAGAATTACTTGTGCTGAAATCTGATAGAAATTTGGCTCCGTTTGTTGTCATGTTAGACGACTTGAAATGAATCTTCTGGTCTTGAAAGAAAGAAGAAGAATAAGAGATTATATGGCTACTTTTACGCATGTAATGCCAATGTGACTGACCATAGTGCCAGGTTTTATCTGTCCATTCTAAGTTTGAAATACATGAGCTTCTTTAGCCTTGAGCTTGGACAGGGAAAGAAAGCAAGTAAAAAATATGGTTCTGCACTCACTCAAAGGAACACATGGCATGCAGTCCTTACACTTCTGATGGTGCCTGGGTGAATGGTTGGAATTAGATGAGGACACGATCCCAAATACATCTGTGACAACTTTGATGTCGTAAGCTAGCAGCTAGAAATAAGACCACCAATGGGTATGTAAGTTGATGTTAGTCTGGTTTCCAAGTTAAACCTTAATGGACTAGCCTACATGGTAAGATCGAAGAGTCAGATTTTTTTAGAGAACTTGAAAATAATTATTAGTATGAGTAACTTTGTCTTGATAGACTAAATGGACCTATGAACTTATTCATTCAGAGGGCAAAGTTTCAATTAATAGATCCATGCTGCACATCTGGCCGGTAAAATCTTGTCACAATCTTGGATTCATACTTGAAAGAGCTGATGGGGGAACCAGAGTACTATGTGGAAAATGTAAAAATGACAGAAAGGATTAAGCAGGCTGGGCTGTCTCCTTTGTTCTATTTGGGGGTGATTTTGTGGAGGGGTTACTAAATTACTGTCATTTTACTGGATGTCCCCAGGGGGACTAAATTACGCTATCGTTTTATTGGCTGCATGATTCTGAAAGGAGTTGCTTGGTGACTTTTGTGTTTTTCCTTATTTTTTTTGGTCCGAGTCAAGATTGGTTAAAAACTCTTAGAATCTCTTTTGTGCTTCACTCACTGTTCTTTTTTGCTTGTTTACATGCAGGTGTATGATGATACTGAGGAGGGCAGCAAAGTTTGCACTTACTACAAGTTAGATTCTATGCCTGTCGTGTTGGTACTTGATCCTATAACAGGTCAAAAGATGCGTTCTTGGCGTGGAATGGTTCAGCCAGAAACTTTGCTAGAGGTTTGTTGTTTTTTCTTTTGCCTTGTTATATTTGCCTACATAACTTGTAGGATTTGAGTAACTTTTTGTGTGCTGATGCAGGATCTCATATCTTTCATGGATGCTAGCCCCTCAGAATATCATGTTAATCTTTCTCATAAACGACCTAGAGAAACTCCTCAGGCACCTCGTCAACCTCAACCTCAGAGTAAGTTCAATGTTTTTAATGCTGTTACCTCAGAGTAAGTTTAATGTTTTTAATACTGTTTAGTCTCTCTGCTGTTTGATGCTAGCTGTTGGGGGGGGGGGGGGGTATACAAAGAAAAAGGTTTTGGTGTTCTCGGAAGAGCTATATATTTTAAAGGCAAAATGAAACTTTTTGGTGAGGTGACACTCCAGATTCATAATATGGCCTCAAAACACAGATCATATTCGAAGTCTCTATCTCTTTCATCCTGATTTAAACCTTATCGTGCAATGAGTTGCGTCTGTGGTCCACCTTAGCCAAACACGTCTTCATTTTGACCAACTACACAATATTGAGCATGTCTCACCGCCACCTCCACGCAATGAAAAGTAGAAAAGAAAATAGGAAACATAAGAGTCAGATGCCGTACCAAATACAGATTGAACCTCATTTATAAGGCTTTGTTATGTGCAGATGAAATTGGAGAAGAGGACGAAGAACTACAACGAGCATTGGCAGCCTCTATGGAAGGCATAGAAGATCCTGGTGCAGTTGCCTCTAAAGAAACTAATGAAGCCAATGATGATGGAGAAGAGAAGCACTTGATAAAGAAGCCTTCTTATCCTTCTTTACCTGAAGAACCCAAGGGTGACAGGACCCTCCTCTGCAGAGTTGCAATTCGCTTTCCTGATGGTCGCAGGCTTCAAAGGAATTTCTTACGAACTGACTCAATTAAGGTAAAGCTTTATTTCTTTTTTCTGTTCTATAGAGCTGATGCCTCTCAAGCTTGACCTGTGGTTTATTCTGATTTAATCTTCCAGAAGCCAGTCTTGTAGGCTAACATGTCAACTTCTCCCCTTTGATATGAAGAATACTCTTGGCATATAGAGATATAAATTCTGCTTAAATAATACTGCATAAGATACTTACATTAAGAGAAGTCAACTCTCCTTAGCTCACGTGGATACAGCTTCTTAGTTAGATTTAATGTTATCTACATAATGCAAGAAAAGTGAACTACATCTGATAAAGGCACAACATTCTTTTGCCTGTATGATTATTTGGAGTCCTTGGAATGCAGCTGCCTTATTGGTCTTCTCTCTTTTCAGCTGCTATGGTCCTTCTGTTCTACTCAGCTTGAGGAAGCCGAGACAAGGCCATTTCGATTTACTCAAGCTATCCCAGGCGCATCGAAGTTTTTGGAGTACGATAGCAACATAACCTTTGAGGAATCAGGTCTTGCCAATTCTATTATTTCATTCACTTGGGAGTGAACCGATGGATTTACATAATGATGTAAATCTGACATTTTATTTATGACCACTGGGCAAGGATGTCGATCATAGATCCTACTGGTCGAGTGCTTTCTGCCTTTTCTACTTACCAACAAAAAAAAAAAACTTTCTGCCTTTTTTCTTTTCCGTTATTTTGCCTTAAATTATAGTATCTTGGCTTTGGAAGTTGTATAAGATGCTATTAAAGTTTGTACATTTTGTTAAACATGTACATAATTATGATAAGTTCTTGGTGTCTAGTATTATGTCAATTTTATCACTCCAACCTTGTTATGCTATTGGTAGTTCATTTTTTTTTTTACTTTGGACTAAATATTGTTTTGCATTCTCCTTGGGTGAGAACCTGGAGTAATAGATGTTTAAGACGAGTGCCTATTGTTCTGAGCGAGGGCAACTGGCTCTTTAGTGCCCGTAACTTTTTCGATACCATTATATAGCTTTAATTTTTTGTTTTATTGATAATTGTAAGGGAGGGAGGAAGTGCACAAGATTTCTTATTAAGGTTGTGTTTTGAAAATATTTATAACATTCGCGAGCTAAATAATTATTAAGTATCTGATCTTTGCAATTTGGTTCTCCTCATTTCACTTTCTTCCTATTAAACGGAAAAGTGGGAAAACTTGACTTTCTTCAAATTTATTGTGACAATAAAGGGCCCCTGGTTTAGTTTCAGGATCTTATTTCCTTACGTGTTTTTTGGGTATAATCATCTAGCATTCGGAATTCAATTGTCTGACTAATTCAGATTTGTGCTACTTAGAATTCATTTAATGGAGATTTGATCCGTATCAAGTTTTTCCATGGTTAAGTTGGGGGATCCCAATCATCCCGAACACATCCTATGATGGTATTGGCTCCACTTTTACAATAAAAATCGTAACTTATGGAAAAGAAACTATTAACAAAATGTGTTTCTACCCTACTCAATCTTAGAAGTTAATATCACGAATTTTAGTCTGATAAGCCAAATTCATCACGATGTTAGACGACAATGTTATGCACTAATTGAAGTAGGATGAAAGACAACAGATTGTGAGTAACCAGTCTCTTTCTTGTTGAACATTTTAAGATTGCCCAACTCACAGAAGCTAGAACACGGGGCTCAAATTTTTCCCGTAGCTGGCGAGATAAAGGTCAATATTGGTTTAACGAAAAATATGGCAGGAAAATTAGCATGACATTTCTCATTCAGCTGAAAGATGGGGGCTTATTGAGTGCAACATGAGATATTTTCAAGCTTTACATGCTTTGTAAAAAGCGAACAAGAAGACTTGCTAGCATATGAAAGTAACAAGGATGAATTTGGTAGGAAAGGTTCAGAATTTGTGACAGCTAAAGAAACATCCATATTTCCATTGTAAACAATTACTATCTCATTACAGCAAGGTAAGATAGGAGTCTTATATATCCCACCTCTTCTTCACACGGAACATCAAAGATGAAGATGTAATGTCATCTTGAGGTACTTGAAGCATAAATTGAACTTTCATCTTCATCGGAGCTGTCTTCGCTTTTCCAGCTTCCTCGCCAGCCTAACAAAGAAAATGTGGCAGGAGCAGATGCTATTATTATGTATCATAACTTTGTAGTTTTTTTCTTGCTTCTTTTTTTGGACAAGTAGGAAAAACATTTAGCAACAACAACAACAGACTCAGTGTAATCCCACAAGTGGGGTCTGGGGAGGGTAGTACATACGCAGACCTTGAAAGATAAAAGGAAGGGCAGCAACAATCACACCAATTATAAAACCGAAGCAAAAATACAAAGATACAAAACTAAAACTGAGTATTGTAATCAGAAGGCCAAAACGAAAGTAACACAAGGACAACGCTAGGAAAAGCATTTAGCACAACACGCGATTTCCCATATAATCCCATAAGATTAATAGATATCTTTAAGCTATGGGAATTAGTGCACAACATCGTCAACATCACTTCCTGTTTCCTTTTCCTTACTTCCTGTCATCATGGTCCAGTTTTTATCAACGTAAATCAAGAGAAAATGTTCAATCACCAAGATTGGGCGCTCATATCAGTAATGTAGCATGAACGAAAATAACACTATTAGAAAATTGCCTTTGCTAGCAAACCTTAATGTTAAAGCTGTCAACCCTGCTCATTGCAATAGACTTATTGTTGAAAAGGAAAAAAACCCTTTGTTCCAATAGCGATTTTCTATTGGGTTTGTTTGCATAAAAATAAAGAGACCTTCCTTTCGATTGTTTCTATCTTTAGTTAAATCGTCTCCTCTGGCCACTAAGAAAAATACTAATTTAAAAACGCAAGTAGTAGTTACTTCAATTAAAAAGGCATACAAAACTTTGTTTTTTTAAAAAAAAAAACAATGGAAGAAAGGGAAAAAACACGTCAAAGCTATCAATATACTTGGAGATCTCAGTGAAAAAATTTAAGTAATTGAAGATAACTACTACATCAAATTAAAGCAGCATAACAATCAAAGCTGAAAAGCAGTTTGTTCCTATTTGCTATGAAAGGACTGAAGCACCAAAATAACTTACCCATAGAGATGCCCAACCAAGTCGCACTTCTGAATCATAACCAGCTTTAAACTTGAAGTCTTTTCCAATATTGTGTTTATAAACTGTGCTCCAGTAGTTCGTGTCCAAATTATACCAGTAGCTGAACCCCAGATCAAAAGATATCAATAGAGAAGCACCCACTTAATCACAAAAAAATGGCTGGAAATCTCTTGTAGTTAAAATTAACAAATTCATTAATAAATACAAGTATATGCATTTGTAATCATGAAAAGTACTTTAAATCATGGATTAATATTTTCTCTATTAACAAAAAATGTATTATTATATCCAGATGAAGCCCTATAGTTCAGGCTGTATAACAAGCAGTTCCCACCTTTTTGGTATACTAGCTTTAGAGTATGCGGTTTGCGCGTGTACCCTATTTATGTATTCCTTCGAGCTTGCATTTTAATCATTTTGACTCTAAGATCATAGTATAAGTGACTTTGCAAAATTTAATGACTCTTAATATTATTAGGTTGTGTAAGCTTAAAATTATTTTTTACTTATATGACTAATTTGAGAAAAAAATGGATTTTCTTGATAATTATTAATTCAAATACTTAATTATTTATTCTCAATATTATAGGAAATCATTTATTTTTGTTGAATTTAGCTCATCCAAAATTTTAAGTATTTAATTATAATTATAATTTTATTGAGTAAGAATTCTATTTTTAAAGGATAAGACATTGATGTATATTTCAGTTCCGAATCTTTGTGTCTACGGCACTGTTAGTATTATTAACTTTGTCAATCACTTTTCTCTCTCTCTCTCTCTCTCTCTCTCTCTCTCTCTCTTCTATTGTTAGTTTTTTTTTTTTGGTTATTTATTCAAAGTGTTGAGTGTAATTTTCAAATATTATACAAAAACCGATAAAGAGAAAAATATTATTTTAGTAGAAAAGAGTTAAAATATAATATGAAAATGTATTATAATACAAACTTAATTATGGGTTCAAAATTCAATCATCTTAACAAAGGTGATGCCAATTAATGAATGCACAACTGAAAAAAAATATACTCCCTCCGTTTCAATTTATGTGAACCCATTTGACTGAGCACAGAGTTTAAGAAAAAAGAGAAGACTTTTGAACTTGTGGTGTAGAATGAGGCACATATATTTTGTGTGGCTATAAATCATTGCATAAATGTAAATTGTTTCCAAATAAGGAAAGTGGTCATTCTTTTTGGCATGGACTAAAAAGAAAATAGGTTCACATAAATTGAAACAAAGGGAGTATATGAAAATGCTCGTATTCAGATAATAAAACCATAGAATTAGTCACATAACATATAAGCTACCCAATTACTTGGCATCATGACGTCAAATGTCACAAATTTAGTTGAGACGAAAACCATTCCTAAAACTAAGAGGAATGGAAGTGCTCGAAATGTAAATATGCCAAAATTAGATCGGGAAAAAAAGACTTAGTTATGTTTTTCCTTTACAAATTTGTGAAATTATATAGTATAAATAAGAAAGAATTTAATACACTAATTTTGTTGATTTTGAAGACCTAAATATTAGGGAAATAATTAAATGTCTATTCTTAAGTATTAGAAAAATAATTAAATGATTATTTTGTCTAGTACAACAACAACCCAGTATAATCCCACTAGTGGGGTCTGAGGAGGATAGTGTGTACGTAGACCTTACCCCTACCCTGGGGTAGAGAGGCTGTTTCCGATAGACCCTCGGCTCTCTCCCTCCAAGAACTTTCCGCCTTACTCTTGGGGTGACTCGAACTCACAACCTCTTGGTTGGAAGTGGTTGGAAGTGGAGGGTACTCACCACTAGAGCAACCCACTCTTTGTCAATTTTGAAAGGTAAAAAAGGCGAATAAAATTGCTAATATAGTATAGATTTAGGAAATGACAGATGTATCTGGACTCCTACATCATAATATCACTATATGATTTCTAAACTACCAGTGACATCCAACATATAGTACATTTTATGGAAAAGGGTTAAAACTGTCCCTAGACTATTCGATTTGGTACAAAAATACCCTCCGTCCACCTATTCGAATAAAAATACCCCCATAGTGGCTCAACTTTGTCCTTTTTATTAACGGACCTATCTGAAGGAAATTTTTTAAATTAATATCTACTTGTCACTGTTCCATTGGCCTAACTTAAATCCCACCCCAAATAGAATTAAACGCCTGAAACACTACTTCTCCATCTCTCTTTTCTTCCCAGTAACTTACTCTTTTCTTCTCTGGTTGTATCTATCACTGTCCAGATCTCAAACAACAGTCCAGCAACATCTTTTAGAAAAAGAAGAAAAAGCTAAGAGAAGAAAAAGTAAGCTGAGAGAAGACAAAGTAAGCAATCCGCCCCGAAAAGTTTGACTTTATTTTAGATTTTCGGGCCTACGATATCGCCAGATGTATGACGAGCCTCAATTTTTATATTATATACATATACACACATGACACAACATACATATCTAAAAGAAAGAAGAACAAAAAGAGAAATGATTTTTCTTTCTTCGGTAGATTTGTCAGAATCCGGCGACCTCCATTGAACTCGGTTGCTATTGAGTTTTTTTCCTCTCTGTTTGCTGTCCGGATTGATGATTACTGAATCTATGTCTATCCATGAAAATTTTATTGGAACAAAATCTATGTCCATCCATGAGAACTGAATCTATATCTGGATTGATGAGAACGGTTGAAACGAGGGAAGAACAAAGAGATGGAGAAGTTGTGTTTTATAATCGGGCGGGTTACAGGCCGGTTTAATTCTATTTGGGATGGGGTTTAAGTTAGACTAATGGGACGATAACATATGAATATTAATTTAATTTTCTTTTTCTTCCACATAGGTCTGTTAGTAATAAGGGCAAAGTTGAGCCACTAAGATAACAGTAGGTGTATTTTTATTCGAATAGGTGCAGGTGGACGGAGGGCATTTTTATACCAAATCGAATAGTCTAGGGGCAGTTTTGGCCCTTTTCCGTAGATTTTATGCTATTCATAACTTCAAGCAGTTCAGTCTATTGAACCTAAATATGTAATTTTTTATCATGGATCAATATTTTCCATTCCTTAGACCCCACTTGTGTGATTTTACTAAGTTGTTGTTGTTGTTGGATCAATATTTTCCAAATTAACAAAAAGCGTATTATTATTATTTCCAGATGAAGCTCTATAGTTCAGGCCATATATACAAGTAGTTCCCACCTTTTTGGTATATTTAGGAAATGACACAGTATACAAAATTCCTGCAGCATGATATCACACACTGATATCACTGTATGATATCTAATCGAACAGTGACATCTAATATCTTATGACATTGTTTTCTAACTTCAAGCAGCTCAGTCAATTGAAGCTAAATATTTTCTCATATGATATGCTTTTGCATAAGAAAATCATAAAATTAAAACTTAGAAACATTATGTTAAAAGGAGGTCAAATGAAGATAGAGGCTTCACCTCAACTTGTCCGAAGGACCAAATCGACGCTTGAAGGCAAATGACATTGCATTTGAAGGCAATGAAATGCTGGGAATAAATGCCATTTGCTCATCCTGCAACATAGGAATGGTCAACTCCAAATATAGATTCAAATGTAGACAGAAAAATTCCTAACCATGTGGGATCAGATGCTGCAAGTTCTAAAATAATTTTTTGGTGTTCCATTCCAAATAAAAAAATTTGGTGCGAGTTTCAGATATACAGACACATGAAATCACAGAAGGACCCAATTGAATCAAAATGAATGTTTAATCCTATTCAAAGTGAACGGAATGGAAAAAATTTCAGAAAATACACAAATGAAGCAATTGTGGATCAATAACTCCACAATACCATGCACATAAGCACATTTTTCAAGTTCAAGCTCCACAGCAAATCTGCAAGATGATGTGATTCACAGCATAAGTTTGAGCAGCAAATACTGTTATTTCAGACATTCTCAATATCTACCACAGGGTATCAATTTGAGAAGGGAAAAACAGATAAGTGGCAATCAGAATTTCAAAAGATTGCTTTGCCACTCTAGGCATCTAGTATAATTCTCTTTTCACCCTATTATCTATTTCATTTTTTTTCTTTTTCTTTCTATTAAACCCATATGTCACTCAATACAAAAAGGTCTATCACATTAACGTAAAACACATCAAACAAATCCTTCACAAGCACTATAAGATAAGACAAATTTAGCCTTGTCACAAAATGTTTCACTGAACTTGCTTCGCTTCACATGTTTAGCGCCTAAAAAATATGCTTCATGAGCTCTCCCTTCAAGAGCAATAGGCCACCTTGTATGGTACTGAGAGAGAGAGAGAGAGAGAGAGAGAGAGAGAGAGAGACCACGCATTTCATGGGGTGTACAGTCAAATCCATTAAACAGCCAAGAAGAACTCAAGAAAAGAATAAATGACTAAACATCTGCAATCCAGTAAAACTTGGGTCAAAACAACATGAACAGTTGGTGAAAAGAAACTACCTTATAGCAGTATGTCAGATCCAAACTTTCATCCTTATATTTTGCAGTACAAACTCCATTCAGGATGTTGCCTTTGAGGATGCCATTCACTGACAGTATTCTCTTTGCTTGCTCCTCCTCTTCCTCCTCTTCTTTTTCCTGTAGTGAAACTTCACCCAGAGGAAATTTGAGGGTTGCTCTTGGCTGCAGCAGGATGATTAAAGAATGAATAAGGGAAAAAAGTAGATGCTGTATAACAAAGCACAGATAGATAGAGCCACCTCTCAGATGCCACAGTAATTGTCAGACACAAGAAACTAATTGCATTCCGAAAATCTAAGCTTTCTTCTCACTACCTCAGCAGGAAGGTAAGAATTTTTTGTATAGCACAAGAATTTACAGTCCTATATCTACCAGTGAATGAAGTGCTGATCCATATGTGCGGACACGTGCTTAAGAAGTATGATAAAAGAAGCTGCAAGTACTGTATTGTTCAGTATTACATTCCCTATAATCTTCTCAAATGTAAACCAGGAACCATACTCGATACTATAGAGCCAGTGAGTTGATAATATCTTGAACAGCACTTTTCTCAAAGATAACCAAGAATCCAAATAAAATACTGTACATAGAGATTCGGTCTTACCATGCCAATTGATGGATAAGCAGATGACAACTCAAACTTGTAGGCTGGACCCGCCAGATCAGCTACCATTGCCAGTTCTCCTTGTTGTGCCTAGTAGCATGACCAAAAGAGGTGTAAGAGTGGTATAGTGCACACACAGCATGTAAACAGAATCAATCATACTACATCCTGAAGTAGATAGGAATATGGTGACTGAAGCATCATCATAAAGTACTCAAAGAGTCCACAAAATTTCAAGAAAAATAGAGTTTGATTACAATCCTGCAATATTAGTGTACGATAACTTGCTCATAACTTCAGTACAAATTCCATAAGCTTCACAACAGGATCCCACATAAAAGAGAGCACAGAAAGCATGTGCATCTCTATAAGTGCCAAGCTATCTACCTTCTCCAACCATTTAGTGTGATGGTGTATGACTGGATATGGGAGTTTAAGTTGTAAATTTACCATATATATTGAATTGGTGACAGTAGAAGAAAATGCTACGGTAATGGTTGAAAGATACTTTATTTAGAGAAAACATCACATCAGATTTTAAAATTTTAATATTTAAATGCATTTGAATTCTTGAAAGTTGTGAAAGTCATAGAGAAAAAATTTAATAGTGGGATGATGTCAAACATGTTGGAATACCCTAAAACTGAAGGACGATATATAAAACAAAGAAAGTATTAGTTTTTCAATGGAAAAGTGGGATAATTCCTCTTTTCTCCATTCATTAAGTTATTTTTCAAAGTCAATTCCCTAAATAATTTTCCGTTCCTTCAGTACTTGTATCACTGTTCCTTAAGTTAAATGAATTGCAAATTAACATTGACTTGCAGAAGATAATCAACAGACAGTTTCTAGACTGTTCAATGCTTGTGCCAGCAAGGAAATAGGAATAGGTCGAGACAATGCAGAATTGGTGGCAACAGGTCCTATGGTAGTGCAAGCGGGGAATTTGGGCAAGTCTCCCACTTCGCAGACATACAAAAACCTAGGGCCGAAACAGATGTACTCTGCCTATCCAATTTTATATGATACTATTACTGTTTAAGGATTTAAACAATGTTTCTTTTACTACTCTATTTTGAAATATTTCCTAAATAATTTAATTATAAGAAATTAAGACTTACATTACTTTTTAGGTAAGATTCAAATAAGTAAATTAAAATACATTAAGAAATTGATATAGAATTAACCCGAAATTGGAACTGTTACTTTGTATCTTAAATTTCAAAAATATTGAGAATCACTATCCAAATTCAGATTTTTTATTTTAAATTTACATTTGAGACGAACTTCTGATTCAATCTTCTTCTTCTCAAATCCGTTGTATTCTCCGATCTCATCATCCGCCGGAAACTCGCCTTTTGTTTCTTTGTGTATATACAATTTTTACCCTTTTTTATTTCATTTTTCCTTGTTGGGCTTTTAGCTTTTACGCATTTGTGTTTTCGGTGTTGGGAGTTTAGAAAGGTTAGTCTGGCGGGCACCGAGGCGATTGGTGGTGGAATGACGTGATCCAAGGTAAAGTGGAAGCCAAGAAAGCGGCTTACATTAAGTTAGTAGAGAACACCAACGAGGATCAGAGGAGAGCGAACAGAGAAAGAGATAAGAAGGCTAGGAAGAAGGCGAAACTAGCGGTCACAGAGGCTAAGACTGCTGCATTTGGTCGGCTGTATGAGGAACTTGGGAGCAAAGGTGGGGACAAGAAGTTATTTCGGTTGGCCAAAGCGAGAGAAAAGAAGGCTCGCGACCTGGATCAAGTGAGGTGCATCAAAGACGAGGACGATAGAGTATTGATGGAAGAGGCCAAGATAAGACAAAGATGACAGGCGTACTTTCATAAACTTTTGAATGAAGAGGGGGATGGAAACATCGTGTTAGGGCAATTGGGGTACTTCGAGAGCCACCGCGACTTTAGGTATTGTAGGCGTATTAAGGTTGATGAGGTCGTGCGTGCGATAGGTAAGATGAGTCGGGGCAAAGCGACCGGAAGCTACCGGACCAGACGAGATTCCAGTAGAGTTTTGGAGATATGCGGGTAGAGCAGGCTTGGAGTGGCTGACTGGGTTGTTTATTGTTATCTTCAGGACGAAGAGGATGCCTGATGAGTGGCGGTGGAGTACAATGGTTCCAGTGTACAAGAACAAAGGTGATATCCAGAATTGTAACAACTATATGGGTATCAAGTTACTAAGTCATACCATGAAAGTTTAGGAAAGGGTGGTGGAAGGGAGGATAAGAAGGGCGGTGTCTATATCGGAAAACCAGTTCGGGTTCATGTCGGGTCGTTCTACTACGGAAGCTATCCACCTTATCAGGAGGTTGGTGGAACAATACAGGGATAGGAAGAGGGATTTGCATATGGTGTTTATTGACCTAGAGAAGGCGTATGACAAGGTCCCCGGGAAGTCCTTTAGAGGTGTCTGGAGGTGAAAGGTGTGCCGGTGGCTTACATTAGGGCGATAAATGATATGTATGATGGAGCTATGACTCGGGTTAGAACTGTGGGAGGTGACTCAGAGCCTTTTCCGGTGGTTATGGGGTTACACCAAGGATCTGCGCTCAGCCCGTTCTTATTTGGCCTGGCGATGGACGCACTGACACACCATATCCAAGGAAAGGTGCCATGGTGTATGTTGTTCGCTGATGATATAGTTATGATTGATGAGACGCGAGGCGGCGTTAATGGGAGACTGGAGGTATGGAGGCAAGCCCTGGAGTCTAAAGGTTTCAAGTTGAGTAGGACTAAGACGGAATATGTGGAATGTAAGTTCAACGACGTGACGGGGGAAGCGGATGTGGAAGTTAGGCTTGACTCACAGGTCATCCTCAAAAGAGAAAGTTTTAAGTACTTAGGGTCAATTATCCAGGGACATGGGGAGATCGACGGAATGTTACGCACCGTATTGGGGTGGGGTGGATGAAATGCTGGTTAGCGTCTGGAGTCTTGTGTGACAAGAATGTGCCACCGAAACTCAAAGGTAAGTTCTATAGAGCGGTGGTTAGACCGACCATGTTGTATGGGGCTGAGTGTTGGCCAGTCAAGAATTCACATATCCAGAAGATGAAAGTAGCAAAAATGAGGATATTGAGATGTATGTGTGGGCACACTAGGCCGGATAAGATTAGGAATGAAGATATTCGGGAGAGGGTGGGCGTGGCTCCGGTGGACGACAAGATGCGGGAAGCGCGACTTTAGATGGTTCAGACACGTGCAGAGGAGAAACCTAGATGCTCCGATTAGGAGGTGTGAGCGGTTGGCTTTGACAGGTACGAGAAGAGGTAGAGGGCGGCCCAAGAAGTATTGGGGCGAAGTGATCAGACAGGACATGGCGCGACTCCAGATTTCCGAGGACATGGCTCTTGATAGGAAGGTATGGAGATCGAACATTAGGGTTGTAGGTTAAAGGGTAGTCGAGCGATTTTCCTCTTTGTCCCGGTTTCCCTCTTTGTACCGACGAGTATGATAGTGTTTTGTCTAGCACTGCTAGCGATTTATGTTGTGTTTCACACTTTTGCATAATATTTGTATTACTGCTTTTCCATTTATTTGCTCTCTCACATTGCTGATTATTTTTAGGGTTTTGTTGTCAAAGATCTATTGTCTCTGAGCCGAGGGTCTCCCAGAAACAACCTCTCTACCCCTCTGGGGTAGGGGTAAGATCTGCGTACACTCCACCCTCCCCAGACCCCACTGGTGGGATTTTACTGGGTTGTTGTTGTACTATCCAAATTCACAAGGAAACATAGGACTAGGGAGTTTGACCTCTGAAAATAGATGCTGAATCTACATAGATGGAGCATATATATATATACAAAACAAATTGTCGATACCCAAACACTGTCATTCGTTTTGGAATAGAGAAAGAATAAAAATTAGCCCAATAAAGGTTAAACTGCACTGAATACAAAACTTCAGCTTAAAATCACTTTTTGGCTTGTTTTGGTGTTTGAAAAACTCAAAAAGTGCTTTTGAGCCAAGTGCTTTTAAACCAAAACAACTCAAAACAAGCCAAAAGCCCTAAGTTGGCGTACCCTAACTTATAGTTTTTGCATAAAAGAACTGGGATTTGACCAAGTAATTTACATTATTGTCCGTTACATTTTTTATAAGCCCCAAACTACCCTTTCCATTTTAAAAGCCCTAATCCATTCTTTTCCTTTGTTGCTAGTTCCTCTCAACCACAATGTCATAATCAGCTATCTGAAATTTCTCTCAATATTCAAAATCCAAAGCATAAGAAAACTAAAGTAGGCTAGGAAGGAGGTACTGTAGCAATGTATCGTTTTCATTCAAGTTTTATATACTCTTCTCTATGCAAAATGAGTACTGTTTCTTTACAATGGAAATCGAATATTCTTTTTATATGCCGAATCAAGTTCCATCGAATCAAGTTTTTCATAAATAAAGCATTTACATGATTCTTTGATTTTGAAAAATATTTTACATTGAATTTCTTTTTATAATTAAACATCGCTTTATTTATAAACTATCTAAAGTACGTTTTTTATTTACAAATTTTACTCAAATCATTGATTAGAATTTGTCTTTTAAATATATAATTTATATTTATTAGAATAATCTTATCTAATCAATTTATAACTTAAAGTGAATTGATACACAAATTAATTTGTATTTGAATTAATTATAATTTAAAAATAATGCACCAATAAGCTTATCTTTAGTTTTAACAGCTTTAAGGGACTTTTCAGTCCGAAGACAAAAAGTATCTATCAAACATAGTAATTGCTTATTTTCAGTTTCAACACTTTTATCCGGTAACGGTTTATTCAAAAATTCAGCCTTAGCACTTAAAAAGTGTTTTTCAGCACGTATGCTTAAAGCTGCTTAAATTCAGCTTATCCAAACAGGCTATTAACCACCCTTACAGACTTACAGTACCCACAACAAGTGTTCAGTAAAGTGTAAAGCATAAAATGCAAACAACAATTTAAGGAGCATTGATACTATTTAAGATTGGGAAGTCAAGCAATGTACTCTTTGATTTAAATTTTCCAAAATTCCCTAAATATTTTTAATTATAAAAAAGCATGACTATAGTACCTTTTCAGCAATCTTACTTTTCAAAAATAATGAGAACCCATATCCCATTTTCACTGAAAAGTAGAAAATTTAACCCTCCTACCCCACCCATCATTCTTTTCGAAATGAAAGAAGTATACAAATTAACCAAATGAAGGTCAAATTGCATTGAATACAATTCGAGTTTAACTAATATCCACCAAGGGTGTAAAGCATATTTACACTATTAGGCCACTTATACATGTTGTGGCGTGTAACTTGCCGTACTTCCAAGATAACAAATTCTCATATCAAAATTTTTGATATGGGTTACATGTAGACATCTTTTGAATGACCTGATAGTATAAAAATTTAACTCAATACAAAATTCCATATCAAAATACCAGTGATTAAAAAAGCGCTCGCTTCGTCGCTTTAAGCGAGATGCGATGCGAAGCGACTCAGTGCCCGCTTCACATAGGTGAAGCGACTCAGGTATAAAAAAGCGACCGCTTCCCACTAAAAAGCAAAAAGCGACCAAGCGATGCGATGCGAAGGAAGCGACCGCTTCTTTGTTTTTAAACAGACCCAGGCTATTTAATTAAAAACGAAGTTGTTCTGTCTTTTATTCTTCAACTTCAAGTCTTCAACGGCAACAGGTATGTTCTGATTTTCCTTCTTCTTCTTCTTCTTCTTCCTCTTCTTCTTTTTCTTTCACTGTTTCAACGTCCAAATAGCAGCGAAATGCTGGCGAATTTTTTTTTTTACCTTCGATTCTTTCTCAGAATTGATGCCAATCCTTGGGTTCTTCTTTCTCTGCCCAGTTTTTAACAGAGAAAAACTGCCCTTCCTCTAATTTTTATATCTTTTACATTGAAGTATTGAACATTTGCTTGCAATTACATGTGTTGTCTATGCAGTATTTATTTTTTTATTTTTTTTAAAAATTCCGCTTCACTTCAAAAAAGCGAGCGCTTCGCTTCTCGCTTCTCGCTTTAAGCGAAATGGGGGTTGTCGCTTTTCCTCGCTTCACGCTCTTCACAACATGGCAAAATACAAACACCCTTACACAGTACACACAACAAGTGTTACATAAAGCATATTACACTATCAGGTCACTTGTATCTCTTATAGAAGGTGACTAGCCCTATTTTTTGAGATTACGAATTCTATTTTTTTTACGGAGTATTAAATGTAGATATCTTTTGGGCAACCTGATAGTGTAAAATTTTCCTTACACTATGGTGTCATATGTTAAACTCAAAACAAAAATCCATATCAAAATGGATATAAGTTCTATACACCGACATACCAGGTTAGTTACCATTTTTATCATATTACCTAAGCTTATCAAGAAATTACCTCTAGTTACCTAATAAATGACTTAATAGTGTAAATACTAATAAGTGACTTGATAGTGTAAATATTGTAATAAGTTACTTGATAGTGTAATTCGTCTTAATACCGTCAGTGCATACTCTTTACACCGTCTTAAAATCTATCAGAATACAAACACAATTACTTAGGGCTCACAACAAGAAATTGCATAAAGCTGTAAATAAAGTTCACACCTTTACAGCATGAGCAGCTTTAAACTGCAAACCAGGAGCCATACTAAATGAAGCGTTAACAAGAGCATTTTTGTCTTCAATGTCATACTGAAGTGACAAATACTTCGTAGATAACGCCAATTGCGGGTCCGATATTTCTCCCTTACCGTTATTCTGAAACGATAACTTCAATTTCGCAAAACTATCAAGCACTTTGCATGAAATCCTGTGGAAGAATACAGAGCTGTCGCTGTCAAATTCAGTCGTTACTCTTATCTTTGGCCGTTGCCGGAGCCATATCGGTCTGCTGCCGGCAGTCGACGGCGGTGATTCCGGTGGAGTTGAGGGCGGTGCTGATACAATTAAGGAGTTAGGGTTTGGTGGAGACTTCAATTCCAATTCGGATTCTGCCATTAGAAAATGAGATTTTGTGTATAAAATTCGTGTAAATGTATAGTAGTGTGGTTATATATATTATAGATATTCTTTTGTATGGGGGAGGCGGGGGT